ACCACCATCTCCTTCTTCCCTAAAACGGTAAAAAGAAACGAAATGCTGAAAAGCCAGTCAATTTTATAAATCCTTAACACATATATACTTAATTTATGGAAGCACTATGCAAAGACAAACTACTTCTAATACTGAAAGCTTTATTAACACACACACATTTCAAGTTTAAAGAAATCTTGGAATCCTAGATTCTCAGTCAGGGAACCAACTTTGTGATGAAGATTTTTTTTTTTAAAGCACTACAGTAATTATACCTCTTGGACAGGAACAATTCAATACCAAATTTCACAGTAAAGAGAAAAAAAAATCCAATGCTTTTTTAAAGGTCTAGAGAGGCAATTATTTCTATTTATGTCCTACACTTATAACACAAACATACACAGAAGTCCCAACTTTACAAAATGCACACTGAAGAATTTCAAATCGACAAGATTCATAAATTCAGGAATTAACTATGTTATATGCACTGCCTAATAATTCTCTGGGGAGAAAATTTAATCTGGACAGTAAGTTCATTTTTGCTTTATCAATTCTGAGGAAGAGATGCGACTTCAATAAGTTAAGTCATTACCCCTCAGACTAGCTGGGCAATGGCATTGGTGGGATTGGCTTTATATGGTCACAGCTCTGTGACAAGGGATCTAGCAGCCCCATCTTCAAAAAGGAGGGATAGGAAGAGGCAAACAACACGGGTAGCACGGAACAAAAAGCAGAGTACCCCTCAGTGTCAGGAAATTAAACTGGCAGAATTGAAAAGCTAGAGGTCCAGAATACCCTTATTTTAAAATGGGAACCAATGGAAAACTACCAGTGAAAAAGTGGGATTTGATAAGTAAAATGGCTTCATAGTCAACTTGACTGAACTTCTTCTTAAAAATCTTTATAGATAGCCAGGCCAGCGTGGCTCAGTCGGCTGAGCGTCATCCCTTGCACCAAGAGGTCATCGGTTCGATTCCTGGGCACATTCCAGGATCGCCCACTCCATCATGCAAGAGGCAGCCAATCGATGACTCCTTCACATTAATGTTTCTATCTCTCTCTCACTCTTCCTTCCTCTCTCTATAAAATCAATAAAGACATTAAAAAATAAAAATAAAATATAAGTCTTTATCAATACGAATATTTGCCATTGTGTTTAAATATTTATTGGTTAGCACTAATTATATGCAGCCAATCACATTACTTTTGATTACTAATAAAAACAAATGGGAAAAAAAGATCAACATGGGCTTATTGTCACCACTAGTAAAGGGCAAGTCTGTCTCATTGAGTATATATATGAAGAAAGTCATCTTATATACTCAACGATAACATATTTTTATTTGTGTCCTAGTTCAATCAAAGTAAATAAAAATGAAAGATTTTAAATAATGAATGGGCATTTATATTGAAAAAATTAGCTTAATTTATTTATTATATTTGTTAATATACAACTGTTCCACAAAACATCCAGAGAACTGGACTTGATTTAAAAAATGCTGCTCTAACCAGTTTGGCTCAGTGGATAGAGCGCCGGTCTCGTGGACTCAGAGTCCCAGGTTCGATTCTGGCCAAGGGCACATCCCCAGTAGGGAGTGTTCAGGAGGCAGCTGATCGATGTTTCTCATTGATGATTCTAACTCTCTATCCCTCTCCCTTCCTCTCTCTAAAAAAAAAATCTATAAAATATATTAAAAAGAAAGAAAGAAATGTTGCCAACCTTTTACTAAGTTTTGTTATATCCTCTATATACTGATGATAAATATAAATCTCATGCCACAATGCCTGGATCATAGTAAGCAATGCATAAAAGGTGGTTTCTACTCACATTTTGGCTATAGGCTCTATGAGGGACGTATTATCTTGCTCTGTCTCATTCAGCATTGTATCCCAAGAAACCCAGCCCACTATCAGGTCCATAGTTTGTATTTAATAAATACGTTGACTAAGTAATTGAATATGTTTTAAGGGTAATTCTCAATTCTCACCTATTTTATGGTTACCAGTGCCCCATCTTCTCTAATCAAAGGTCTGAAAACCATACCCCAGAAAAAGGCATTTAAGTTCCTGTTTATGTTTCCTTAAACTAACCACAAAGATTCCCTCCCCTGTTTCTGTCCCAAACCCACAAAATCAATGCTTTGCAACAACTATTCTTAAACCATTTTGCTTCATTTCCCCTCACAGACAATGTACAAAGTTCCTTAAACTGCAAGGCTTAGTTTAGTTCCCTTTATCCCTTAAAAAGGAAAGGCATATTTGTAAAACTTTATCAATTCTCAGATTTCTAGTCTGATTCCTTGCTCTTTGATTTGTGGTTGGTTATCACACTAGCTCCATTTGCATTTTTATTATATACTTTGCATAAATTAAAATAATAAAAATAGCCTTGACATAAAAAGTTTAAGTTACACATCAAAGCATATCGCAGTTCATTATAATCAAATTAGGAAGCTGACACACATTTCAGTGAGGTTGCATTCCTTAAAGTACTTGCAGAGATTCTTTTTGGGAACAGACTGCAGATCCAGTTCTACGAGTCACACAAGAAATTCTGTGTCATTACTTTTTAGTTGAGACTCCTATTAGACATAAGGCAGTATCACTAACCTGGCTGCTTAATCCTTTTCACCAGACTTTAGTATAAATTCTCTAGATTATTTGGATACAATTTCATTTTGTTATTTCCCCAAATCTACACTGAAAGGATGAAGATGATGAAAAATAACACAGGCTCACAAATGAATTCTAAGAGAGGTACATAGAGTATTTTCTGCCAAACCTGAAAAGTTGCTAGTTGGAAGAACTCCAAATAACTACTCTGAATGATACACTTACTTACTTCTAAATCTAAATTCTGATATTTTAATCCAAAATCAGTTACATTTGTCTACAGTCAATTGTTACATAGATCAGCTGTGCTTTCCTCCACTAAGGTGCTAAAGGTTACACCTTAAGTAGCCTTCACAGAAATGCTACTTAAAGAACAAAACAAGCTCTGCCTTCCTGGGAAGACACTGAAGAAACTGAACAGGGACTATCTCTGAGCAAAGGAACAGCCCGGCTGGAGAACAGAAAGAAAAGACTTTTCACTGAGTATTTTTTATACCTTCGGGACATTATACAATGTGAATGCATTACGAATTTTTAAAAACCTGTCTAACAAAATTATTTCCAAGTGTCAAGATATTTCTGGCTCCCCAGCCAGAAAACAATATATCACTAAAGAATTGTGAAATTCATTTTAACGTCACTCCACTGTGGACCTGAACCTCCAGTCCCAGTGCAGAGCCATTCACACCCACGGCAGGGAACCCTGCAAGCAGTGCAAGTCACTAAACTCATCACAGTTGGACTATTGAACTGTGTCACTGCATTAAAGTATAATACACACCATCGGAAACAAGAACTGGGAACTACAGAAATTAATGTGTCAATTCAAGAATAAAAAACAAAGTCAACTAATGAGCTTTTAAAGGAGCAATGATCCAAATACATCTTTGAAAAGTAGCAAGTCAATAATACATATACTTGTACATACAGTAAAATACTGCAAAGTCCCTTCAAATGCAGCCTGCTGTACTACGAAAACGTGGAAAAGATGTCAGGTATGGTGCCATTAGCAACACAATTCACAGCCTGAACTAGCTATTGCAATACGATCTGTTGTTGGACACAATTGCACAATCTCAATTACCCAGAAGATTCTACCAAACAGGAAATTCATGATGTGACTTTAAGAAATACAGGAATTATACTTAAAGATGAATACGTTCAAAAGCCTGGAATTTGTTACAAAGCAAGAAATCATTTTATAGACCCCTTTTCAAATGTTCAACGGGCATGAATTACATGGATAAGCAGCTTCAGATCACGAGCTCTCGAATTACAGTCAATCTAAAATGTAATGTCTAAAGCCTTGGAGGTTAGCGAAGTTAAGTGAAATGTTTCAGATCTGGAAATTTTATGGTATTAATTTCATTTCATTTAAAACACACTCAGTGGGAATTAAAGCTGATATATCCCGCAGAACCATGGTGCTCCCCGGGCTATAAATGTAGATAAGTCTCTTTCTCCCCCCCTCCCCCCACAATTCTCTTGCAAACGCTGGGGGACTTTAAAAACACGGTCCTGTTCACAAGAATTGTCGCAATTAAAAAAAAAAAATTACAATATCTCCCAGCATTGTTAAGAACTTTTTGATCTTGAGGGCGCCCAACGGGTCTGATTCTCACTTGCTCCAAGTGAGAAAATTGTTTTGTCAAACAATACTTGAATGAGCAGCGGAATGTGACTAACCGGCCAGGCTCCCGCCGGCGCTATCGCCCACCCCGCCTGCCAAAGGAAGCACGCTCTCCACCGGATCGGAAACACGCCGCCCAGGCTGGCACAGCGCTCTCCGAGATAAAGTCGGTGTTTTAAGCTCTGTGGGTCGCTGCTAATGCAACTGCACATCCAAAAAGGACGCCTCTCACAATGGGATTTTGACAGAGGCTTGCAAAAAAGTCCGGACAGACGCCCTCCGTTCTCAGTCTCCGAGTCGGGCTTTGCCCTTCTGCTTCTCCCGCAGCTCCCGGGCTGTTGTGCTCAGAGGGCAGGCTCCGGCGCCCGGGGTGGGGGCACCTTGGAGAAGGTCCTTCTGCTGGATGCCAGCAGGAGACACACTCCCCCCCCCCCCGCCCCCGAAAGACACCCTCCACACACCTCGTGCCTGGCCCCAGAGCAGCAACCGCCGAGGAGGGAATGCGCAGGGTGCAGCCAGGGCCGAGCTCCAGCATTACCACCGCCCTCCCGCCCGCCGTGGACCTGCACCCTGCACACAGCTGACCACCCACCTCGCGGTGCAGGGTGAGGGGTGCAAGGGGCACGGGGAGTGCTGGACAGGGGTCGGAAGGGCGGCGATGCCCTCCCCCAAGGAGAATTCCTGCCGCTTGGTGCATCGCTGAGCCGAGGGGGCAGGCCTGGCTCCGGGGCACAGAGGGCCAGCTAGCCGCCGCGGCCCCAGGCCCAGTGACACTCACCACACGGAGCCATAGGCGCCGGAGCCCACCGGGGACAGGTTCTGGTAGCGCTCGGGCACCTCCCAGATGGTCTTGTTCAGCTCCTGCCGGTAGAACGTGGGCCTTTCCTGAGACATCTTCCAGCGGCGGCCGCGGGGGGAGGAGGTGGCCCTCCGGGGCCCCGCCTGCACCCGCACCCGCTCCCGGGCCCTCGGTGCCCACGCGGTAGGGCGGGACCCCGCACCGGACGCCCGCGCAGGTGCGGCGGCCGCAGCCCCGCGGACTGGCGCGCGCGGCCCCTGTCAGCCGCAGGCTGGACGCGCCTCGGCGCCGGGGGCAAGCCCAGCTAGGGGCCGGGCGCGCTCCGGGGCTCCAGGCTGCGCCCGCCGAGCTCCCCCTGCACCCTCTCCCCTGTCAGGCCGACTCCGGCGGCGCCGCGGGACCCCGGCTCCAGCTGCTGCGCCGCCTGGGCTTCCAGTGGTCGCCGTTCCCGAGCCAGAGAACAGGAGCCTCCCGCCGTACTCTCGCGAGACGAGCTCCCGAGACGCTCCGCGAACCGAGATTTTACCCAATATGGAACCCGCCCAGGGGAGGGGGGAGAGGAGGGAGGAGGACGGGAGGAGCAGTTCTCGCGAGAAGAGAGCAACAGCTGGACGCCAGAGGAAGGGGAGCCTGGCGTCGGTTAAGGGCGGGAAGGCGGCCCGGGAAGGAGAAGGTAAGCAGGCAGCACGGGCCGTGTGCGCCCCACCGTGGCCGGCGGGGCAAATGCCTGGTGGAAATTGACGGTGACTGTGTGTGTGTGGGGCGGGAAGAGCCAAAAGATCTTTGAACTGCGGCTAGCCTGTTTGAACCTGCGCAGCCAAACCCCCAATTTCCAAGAAATAATTGCATTTTAAAAAAAGAGAAAGGTTCCGTCCAGAAAGCTGTTGCATTCCCATCCACTCAAGGACAGACGGCTTCCTCTTAGGAACTCTGATTAAATCTATCCCCAAAGTAATTCTCAGCCCTGCCTCATAGACTGACGCTTCGCACCCTAACTCTCCTAGTAGTTTTCAAAGTTTCATGTGCATAAAAATCACGTTGGGAGTTTGAAAACGCATATTCCCAGACAGGGAGCCTGGTTGGATAGGTCTGTGATGGGCACCAAGAATGTGAATTTCTACAGTACCGCCCAGCCAGTTCTGATGAAGGAAAGTCTCTGGTATCTGCCTTTGAGAAGTATTTTTTAAACCACTACCCTGAGGACCCTGCTGGTGCGGCTCAGTGGTTGAGCGTGGACCTATGAACCAGAAGGTCACGGTTCAATTCCTGGTTGTGGGCTCGATCCCCAGCAGGGGGTGTGGGAGAGGCAGCCCATCCGCGATTCTCATTCATGTTTTTGTCTCTTCTTCTCCCTTACCCTCTGAAATCAATAAAAACATATTTAACAAAACAAAATAAAACAAAAACGCTTCCCTGATGGTTTGAAATGGATTCCTGCCCTGAAGAGCTTCCACTGAAGGGGACGTTAAGCATTTAATTCATGCCTCTCAGACTTAGAAGACCAGAGCAGAGAGTCATCTTATTAGTCAAGTCAATTAATCTTCCTTAGACCTTAATTCCAGTTAGTGCAAAAGATAACTCCTTTCTTTACATTCTCATCTGATAGGGTCATTTGGAAAGCTGAACAAGGTAATAAATATGAATGGGCAAGGTATTATAATCCCATGCCTATCCCCACTGTTACCAACCTGCTCCTATGCTCAAGCTTGTTCCAATAAGCAAAATTGGACCCTAAAAGAAATAGTAAGATACAAGCCAATTCTCATCACTTCCCATGATTATCCAGTTTGTGTTATACATCCCTTGGAATGCTTAGATTTTGCCTCTCTTGTCCCCACATCTAACACAGTGCCCAGAACATAAAAGATACCCCATAAATATTTGTTGAACAAATTATGACCTATGACCATTCAATTATGACCATTGAACTGCAGTTAGTCACCACCAGCAGCGGAGCACCTGTGCTAAAGGTAGTACAGGAATGTCAATTCTCCTCTAGGAAAAAAATAAGAAAACCTAAAACCTGAAAACGTGATTCATGGGTGATTTGTGCAAAGCTTTATTTTTATTTGTATTTTATTTTTTTATTCAATGTGGCTTAGCCTGGATTCTCTTGCCTACAAAGACATGGTGCTTGAAAATGTTTCAAGCCAACCTGCAGGTTAGGGAGCTTTCAAAGAAATAATGAAGGTTGAAGGAGGAAGTGAGAGCAAAAATATGACTGTGGGGGGAAAAATGAGGTCTTAGAGTGAAGAATGGAGATGAGGGAGGAAACTTGGAAGCAGGAATCCTAAGAAAATCATAAATATATCCAACAAATTGGGATAATGAGGTGAGGGTGACCAAAAGGGTGAAGATGGAGTGAGCATTACATTCACTCATTCAACAAATATGTATAAAATGCCTAGTGGTGCCATGCATTTCTGATGAAAGGATGGTCTAAAAGCAAATCCAGTTGTACCTACATGGAACTTACAATTAACTTGAGGGTAATCATTCGATCATTCAAATTTCTTGAGCATTTACTATATCTACCACACTGTTTTAGGCACTGATGATTCAGTAAATGAAAGATAAAAATCCCTGCCCCTATAGGGGAGAGACAGTTATAAAAAGGAATGGGTAAAGTGAATACTGTGTTAAACATGAATACAGGAATTCAGCGATTGTAAAACTGCAATGGCTGATTAGAAAAATAAGGCTGTAGTGAGAACAGGGGCTAGCTAACTGGCTTGGCTCAATGGATAGTGTCGGCCTGCAGACTGAAAGGTCCCAGGTTGGATTCTGGTCAAGGGCATGTACCTTGGTTGCAGGCACATCCCCAGAAGGGGCAGTGCAGGAGGCAACTCATCAATGTTTATAACTCTCTATCCCTTCCTCTATGTAGAAAACTCAATAAAGTATATATATTTTTTAAAATTTGTAAAAAGAAGCAGGGGCTGGGACTGAACTTTGTTAACCTAATAAACATTCAAACCTATGAAGAATTTTTGTGAGTTTATTTGAGCCAAACAGCCAATAAATGATGGGAAGCAGAATCTTTTTTTTTTTTTTTTTTTTGATTTTTTACAGAGAGGAAGGGAGAGAGATAGAGAGCTAGAAACGTAGATGAGAGAGAAACATCAACCAGCTGCCTCTTGCACACCCCCCACCGGGGATATGCTCGCAACCAAGGTACATGCCCTTGACCGGAATTGAACCTGGGACCCTTCAGTCTGTAGACCAACGCTCTAACCACAGAGCCAAACCGGCTTCGGCTGGGAAGCAGAATCTTAATGGACTGAGATAATGCTCTGGAGAATGGCAGCTTTGCACACATATACATATATGTAATTGATTTCAGAGAGGAAGGGAGAGGGACAGAGAGATAGAAACATTAATGAGAGAGAATTGATTGGGTTGCATGAAATCCACTGGTGATACATTAGGGAGGCTGGAGAAAGCAAAGCAGGGAAACCTTTGGGATTGGATGAAAAGTAAAATGACAGCCGAAACCAGTTTGGCTCAGTGGTAGAGCATCGGTCTGCAACTGAAAGGTCCTGGGTTCTATTCCGGTCAAGGGCATGTACTTTGGTTGGGGGCACAACCCACTTATGTCATCTCTTATGAATGCAACGTATAAAATAAGATGCAAAGCTGCCACCCTAGCTGGCTTGGCTCAGTGAATTGAGCATTGGCCTGTGGACTGAAGGGTTCCAGGTTTGATTCTGTGCAAGAGGCAGCTGATCGATGATTCTCTCTCATCGGTGTTTCTAACTCTCTATTCCTCTCTCTTTCTCTCTGTAAAAAATCAATAAAATATATTTAAAAGAAAAAAGAAAAGTAAAATGACAGACACACTCCTTTTACATGGGTGAGTATAGGACAGTTAACAGTCAACAATTAACTCAGTGGCAAAGGAAGGGAGAGGGAGAGGGAGATTGAAACATCAGTAAGAGAGTAATTGATCTGCTGCCTCCTGCACGCCCACTACTGGGGATTGAACCTGCATCCCAGGCATGTGCCCAACCCAGGCATGTGCCCAACCCAGGCATGTGCCCTTGACCAAACCCAGGACCCTTCAGTCTCCAGGCCCACGTGCTATCTGTGGAGCTATGGGCTAGACTACTTTGACATTTTAATATGTTATCATAGATGCAAGAGGACAATAGGCAAGATTAGTTAAGGTAAAGATTGTCAGGGAAGATACTGACCGAGGACATGACTACCCACCATAAATTGCTTTTCGTTAAAAACGTTTTTATTTCAGACCATCTTTAGTGGTTAATGTAGGTCTCTGAGTTTGCAAGGCCACCAAGCAGGCCTTCCCTGAGCTTGTCAGGCGAGCATGTGGCCCCTTTCGCCCACAGCTTCGAAGGAGGAGGTTGAGGCAGGTAAAGGGAGAGAGAGCAGAGCCGGAGGCCTGGGCAGCCGTGGAGGGGGAGGTGTTTGAGGTAAGAGGGAGGAGAGAGAAGGGCAAGGGAGCCAGCTTGTGGGGCCGGGAGCTAGGGTTGGAAGCCTGGGTGGCTCTAGCCTCCAGTTCCCTCAGCCTCTTCTGCCCTGATGTGGTTGTGGGGAGACAGTGGGTGACTGTTTGTGAGGTGCAGGGCACCAGGCTTGGCATCAGCTGGGCCCTCCATCCAGAGTAGTAGTCAGCCCCGCGGGCGTGGCTCAGTGGTTCAGCGTGGACCTATGAACCAGCAGGTTTCGGTTCCATTCCTGGTCAAGGAGGCAGCCGATCAAAGATTCCCTTTCATCATGATGTCTCCATCTCTCCCTTCCTCTCCGGGAAAAAGGGTAGTCAAACCAGTGGGCAAACCCGGGTGGCGCAGGTGAGGGGCTTCATCGGCCCCGGCCCGGTGCAGGGCGGGCGGCCCAGGTCCCCCACCCCCGCGGCCCCTGCTCCCCCACCTCGCCCCCCTCCTGCCGCCCCCCTCCCCCCGGAACGCCCGCGGGCTCGGCCGCAACGGCTCGGGAACCGCCAGCGACCGCGGGCAGCGCCGCCAGCCCGGCCGGAGCAGCGGGACCCGGCGCCCCCTGCGCCCGCCCGCCGAGGAGCCGGTGAGCCGCTGCTAGGGAGCCGGGCGTCCGGGCTGCGGGTTCGGGGCGCCCTATC